TCAGTGCAACTAAGGGGAAAATTCCCATTCAGATATTAAAGAAGTTGGAGAACAAATAAAATAGGCTGTATAGAACTACTTAACATTGTCAATTCTACAGAAGACACTCATGCAAATCATTGTGGGCAAGTTCTGCTAGGTTCCAAAAGAGAATGCAGGCATTCTGATCAAGACTTCCAGTAAGGGGAGCTTACTTGTGTAACTGATCCAGGATGAGAAGAAAAGAGAAAATTCCATACATATATACTTGCATATACTTTACAAACATATTTCTCTTCCCAAGTTAGAATATCTGTTTCATTATCTCGACGATCATCACAACATATTTTACATGTCTTATAAAATATCCCAGAATAATTTATAGCCACTTCAGGCTAAGAGCTTCCAATCAAATGGAAAAAATTATTTCCCCTGAAGATGACCATGAAGAGAAGGGGTGACTCATCCACTCATCTGTTCTACAATAAATCAATTTTGTTTGGGGTGTTTTCAAAAGTCACATTAGAGAAGACTCACTCCTAAAGTGCTGCTTTCAAAACCACAAAGCCTGATGCATTAAACTGTATTGGAGATGATGATTTAAATTTAGAATCTAACTGAAATACATGATTGTTATCATTCATTACATCAGTGCCTTTATAATTTTAATGATCTGGCAAAGCTCAGTACAAACATGGAAAGCACTATAAACTAAGCTGAAACAAAATGATTTTCCTTCTCATTTGGAATATTAAAAATGCCTTTGTACACAGTTTACACTCCTATTCTAAGGTGCCAGAATACCTTTGATTGACAGACATTCAATTCCTACTTCAACTGACAAATGTTCAATCCCCACATATTTCCTTACATCTCGATAAATTAGAGACTTGCTGAGATCACGGAGATGGGTCAATCTATCGACAGCTCTATTAGGCCCCACACATAAATCCCATGCTGAGTTTTGCATTTACCTGTAGAATACCTTCCATACCAGGTTTCTCGCAGAGGTGGCAGCTGGCCATTCAGAATTTCATTCCGGTCCTGTAGTCTTGCCAACGAATATGAGCTCTTTTCTTCCAGGTTGTGATTAAATGCAAAATCCATAGGGCCAGCTGAAGGAGTGTCTGCTCCTTTGTTTTGCAGAGGGGCTACTTTGGTGACCCGAGAGTGAGCCTTAGAGTGACTCCGGCCCATTTCCCATGAAAGAGATTCAAAGGAAAACCATGCCGGAGGTAGTTTGGGGGTCTTTAATGTAGTTTGTTTTAATTAAGATATTTCAGAATCCCAGCAGTTTGGGAGACCCTAAGCAACTTGGTGAGTCTCTGT